TAAATCAAGACGCGAAACTAAAACAGACTTAATCTACAAAAAGAATCAGTTTTTCTCTAAAAAAAATACAAAAAAAAAAAAAAAATTGATCAAGATATTAATAGAGATGAAGGAAAATAACTTGTAATGGAATGAAAGGAAAATTACCCGTAATGGGATTAGACCTTGAAATTTCGGATTCCGAGATGAAAGCATCAATAATAGAGAAAGTTTTTTCTGTTTTCGTAATGCAAATAGTAAATATTGTTTTTCAGTTGGTTTGTATAGTTAAAGTTATAAGAATATATAAGGATGATAAAGTCATAGTTGAAAAGTTTTAAAAATCTTTTAATTGAGCATGTTAATAAAAAAGTAATTAGTTAAAAACTTTAACTTAACTAATTAAGTAGATTTTGACTCGAACTTAAATTTTTAATATGAGATTATTTAGGTTATCGAATAAACCTTTTCTATTAAGTATTATAACTTAATTTTTTTAAGCTACTTAAATAGGTTATCAAACACTCTTTTAGTATGCGTGTATCTTTGTCTCATATGTTTGTGTTCTTATCAATCAAGGCATATATACATTGGGCTTCTAATGAAGTAAATTATAAATCAATCATTCTTGCTTCGAAAATGAAGTAATTAGTTTTTTTAGTTTTAAAAACTAATTATTTTGTTCTTTTTATTTTTTAATTTATTTTGAATTTTTGTTTTAAGAAATAGAAAAAATTAAAAATAAATAGAAGGATAGAAAGATTACAAAAAAGATATTTTATAAAATAAAAAAATATTAAATTACTTACGAGTAAACATTGGTTAAAAAGATTAAATTATTAGTTTTTAAACTAAAAAGGTTGATTAATTTATTTCTCAAAACAAGAGAGATTAATTTATAATTTACTCAGTTCCTAATGTCATCATTATTATATATACTGTTCTCTGACGAATTGTTCTTTGAGATTTTACAGTAATCTGCTTGCCCAAAACGAGGGTTAAAGCCAGCCAAGAGAAGTTTATGGTGAAAATGTTGAGGTTACAGCAAAAGCAAAAGTGTGGATACTATATATTAGCTGGACGTATCTCATTTTTTTTTTTAACCCGACATGTCAAATCTTCGTTAACATTCGAACCTTTAATGCAAGAAATGAACATAAGAAACGTCAATTAATATTTGATTGAAAACACATTTCTTAGTTCTTTTGGTTCGACAATTAGTCAGAGTATCATCAGATAAATTTACATATTAATCAAAGTTAAATAGTTTTTTAAAAAGATTTTAAAGATACATTTGTCCAATTAGCTTAGTCTATTAATGAATAAAATCCTTCTTAATATTCACTTTAAAGTTACCTTGAAAAATCAAAAGATCGTAGACATTGTTAACCACAAAACTTACTGTTTGGGTTTCAAAACACCTCATGTAAAATAGATGAAACTATCAAACTTCATTTCGAAACAAAATCAGGAGCACTACTACTTAATTATTTTTGAAATTGACATAATTAACCTCAAAGTTCCATCTTCATCATTAATTAAAAGTGTAAAAATCTAATGAAAACTCTTCCATAGATGCCAAATAGTTTAATCCAACCTATATGGTACAATTTATTTTTCTTTCTCTTTTTATAAACATTTTGTTAGATAACTTAGATTATTTTAGGATCATATCAATCAAGACTAACTTTTTTTTCAAAAAATTTAATGGTGCATTCTTTAAATTGACATGAGTTATATATGGTTTAAACTCACTAGCTTAAAGGAGAAAAAGGAACTCCTTTCACCATCAAATTACTATTTGAGGCTCGTGTCTTTGACATCAAATATCACATTTTATGAGAAAAGGAAAAAATAATTAAAAAGGACATTCTAAGTAATCCATCCACGTCATTGCAGACTCAGCCATTGACAATATACATGACCTGTGAAGCACGGTGTAGTAACAATGACGTAAAGGCATATATGCATATAAATATTGATCATCCACTGATGTTCTTAGAACTAAAAAATTAAAAAGGAAAAGCAGATGGCTTGTTATCCGTCAACAAGCAATTGCGTGTTCTCTACCAAGTGGGCCTATATGTCTTTAGTGCCTTCAAACATAGCCGTCACAGTGGCCAAATGGGGCCTGGTTTGGCAATGGAAGAGTCCTCAGCGGATAAGATCATTTCTGTGGTTAGGATTCATGGTAAACTGCCTACCAATGAACAGCGTGTACATAGAGGTCTCTAATCTGATTCCAGTTGTTTTCCATGTCAGGCTAGTTCAGAAACTACCCTTCATGTGCTCATAGATTGTCCTGCTGCTTGTTCCATTTGGAATTCATGCGGTACACCTCAGGTCATCTGTATTTTTTTTAGCTCAACCTTCAGGATTGGTTCTGGTCTAAAATTGAAGTCAATCCAATACCAGCAGAAGGAGCTGCCTCATGGAGCATATGGTTTGGAACTTATTGGTTCTTGTGGTCTTGGCGAAACAAAGGTCTTTTGAGAAAGGTTTTGTGCTTTATGGTTAGTCCATGGATGTGATTTTCTCCTTCGCTAGTCAAATTATTGCTAGTGTGAAGTAGACATGATAACGGTTTCTGAACCACCAGTTTCGGTTTAGGAACTGTCAATTAAGGTTTCATTAAAAAGTGGAACCTGAACCAAACCTTCTATGGATGGTTACGGTTCCGGTTTGAAACCGTAAAACCGACGGTTTCAAACCGTTTGGAACAGACGGTTCAACGATTTTTTTATTAAATGAAAAAAATAAAAAAAATCGAACATTTTTTCTCAAGTATAAATCAAATATTAACATTGAAACGAAAAAACTTCTTTTTTGCATAATGTATAAATATTATAATATTTTTTACATTGTAACGTATTTCGCACAATAAATCAAAGGGAAAAAAAATAAATAAAGAAGGGCTTGAACTTAATTTTTGTAAACACTATAAAAATTAAGCTTCCTACGTATCCTCTTGGGGTTTAGAGGAATCAAAGCTTATGTAGTATTACTTTGTTGTGATGACATATGTGAACTTGAACTTGTCATTTTTTATAGTATAAAACAATAGAAATGTAAAAAATTTAAAAACTATTTGGAATATAAAAAATATTATAAGACAATATTGAGAATTCTAGACTTAAGAGTTTAAGAGATTGAGAGAGAATGAGAGATTGAGTTGTGAGGAGAATGAAAAAATTGAGAGTGTATTTATAGAGAAAAAAAAAGGGTCACATTTGTGACCGTTTTTCACACACACACACACACATATATATTAAGGACAAAAATTAAAAATTATTAGGCTTAATTTTTTTTTTTCCATTTTTCAGTCCATATAGCTATTGTTTAGCCCATATAAAATTGATTTTTTTATTTAAATTTTTTCATTTTTTTTTTACCCAACCCAAATTTATTAGGAAAGATGTGGAACCATTGGTTCTATGGTTAACCGTCGGTTTAGAACCACCGATTCCGGTTCCATGATACCTTAAACCTTAACCAAACCGTAGGTAGCCGGTTAGGATTCGGTTTGATCAAAGTTACGGTTTTAACGATTACGGTTTGATTTTTTAACGGTTCGGTTTCGATTTGGTTTACGATTCGAACTAAACCGTTACCATGTCTAGTGTGAAGCTTTATGCAGCAGCTGTAAGTCGCTATTAAATAATTGAACACTCGCTCCATCATATATAATACAACGGTTTATCGGTTGTTACATTCGATAGGCGTTATAATAGATTAATATAATGATTTCTATGTACAATAGCAACACAAATTTTCGTTGCATAATGTTCTTAAAATGCAATAGTTATTTTATTACTTTAGACAACGATTTTTAGTATCATATAATATCGATTTAATTCAAAATTTGTACAACGATTCTTGCCATATATGTTATAGTTGAAGAGTTATTTTATGCAACAGATTTTCATAAAATAAGGCAACGGTTTATGTATTATATTATGCAATGGTTTTTAAATCATTTGCGGTAGTTTTTCTATTGTATTAAGCAACAATTTGTTTTAATGCAACATTTTTTTTAATGCAACATTTTTTTCATTTATAAGCTCACTCTTTTCATTTATAACGCAATAGTTTTATAAAAGAATAGAAACAGTTTGTAAAATCCGAACGTACTCGGCTAATGAATTATTTAATATAATAGTTTGCAGTATTATTGCAATAGATTTTTATCCAATTGTAACATATTTGCAACAAATTTTTAGCCAATTGCAACAATTTCATTAAAGACAATTCCAAATATTAATCAATTACCAAAAAAAAAAAAAATTCAAGTAGTTTCTTAACATAATCCCAAACATTAATTAATCTATTACAAGAAAGTAAAAATCTAAATATCTAAAAAAAAAAAACACAATAAAATTTCAATATTTGGAAAAAATTTCAAAGTTCCTGCTAGATAAATTCAATAGACCAAAGTTCAAAGTTCAAAAAGCATAATAATAAACTAAAGTGTCAATCTCATAGTTATCCTTCAAATTCCAGTCGTTCACAAGACTAGGCAATCTACAAAGACAAACTTATTACTTTCCTTCTCCAAATTTCAGTATACAGACAAACTGGACACATAAAAAGACAGTATCAAAACCTATAATCTCAATTTTCTAGATCCTCTCATTTAATTGAGTCCCAACGCAGATTTTGAACTATTATTTTACTTTAAAAGATACATTTCATGATCTACTCGTAACCTAGAAGTTATAAAGCTTCTGACTTATGTTGGTCACTTACCGTCGCATGTTGATACCTTGGTGATGGAGAAACCCAAGGTGCAAGAGTCTACTCCACTTTTAACCATCAGATCATAGTCAGATTTATTAAGAAAATGGGGTTCCATATTTGGAGGATTGTCCCAGACCATATACCTTATATCACTGTTTACAGTTGTGTTCATAAACTCTGGTGCATTTCAAATGACAGAGTGGAAATAGCTTTCTTCAGATAAGACCATGTTGTTGAAGCACATAAGGGTTCGGGCAAGATTATCCCAACCAAGAATGCAAAATTCAGAAAAGAGCATCAGTTAGATCATCACTGTAAATTACATCAGCAGATACAAGCAAAGAAGCTCTCTCAGCTTCTTCAACATCCGAGGATATGTCCAAGAACCTATTATCACCATTAACAAAAATGCAACATGTTTCTTAATGTGTATCACTATCAAAGACAATAACTATAAAATGACGAAAAATTCTTTGATAGATATAATGAATTACAGTGCCAATCAAAAGAATATCAACCTTTTATGACATGTAGAATTTCCTGAACTTGTTGAGGGTGGCCAGGATTCCATCTAATCAAGTTCCCGGACATGAATGCTTCCTTGATAGTTTAACACTTCAGAATTGAGATCAACATTGCTTGCACAATTGTCAAGGATTACATCTCCACGGTCTGTAGACAATTATAAAAAGCAGCTTGTTTAAGAATATAAATCATAAGCATGTCTAACCTTCCTCTATCCCTAAGCATTAGCCTTCTTTGAAAAGACAACATTTAGCCGAATATTAATCAAACCATTCACTCAATAATTATATATGATTTTTGAATATGAATCTTCTGCTGATTTGACGTATGAAATGATATAGCTCCTACATTCTAATGATGGGCGATTCAGAAACCAGTCCAAAAGCACATTTCTAAATAGGGAATCACCATGAGATTGTAAAAAAATAAAGAGAAGTAGAGACACCTTGGAGTAGAGGGAGTAAATATTCATCACCACATATAGTCAAAAACTATATAGAGAACCAAATTCACCTAACAAAAAAGATGAAATTCATGGAAACCAAAGAATTTAATATGACTACTAGCTATAACTAAATTCCATATTTTTTTAACTTTCTTCCATTACTTCAAGCGACAAACCAAACACAATTTATCTTTTAAAAAGAAAATCATAAGCTTACAGAGAGAAGGAGATACAAAATGTTGCAAACAATAGATTGGCATGTTAACTCAAACGATTGACATAATAAACATTTAAGTAATTGAAAAGTGCACTTCAGAGAAAGATATTGATAGATGATCTAACAACAAAAACGCCAAAAACCTATAAAGATAAGGCAACATATAAACAAAACCATTGAATACCTATTAGGAACACTGTTTTAGCAACATGTGCTAGCAAGATACCAACTAGCCCTGGCAAAGACATTGAAATAAATTCCTATCATACAAGAAATGCTCAGGATTCAGGTTGAGAACTTTTAAGATAGTTGAATTTAGAAAATAGAAAATCCACAACAGATGATGTTAAGATTGGTTAAATGACTCGGCTACTAATAAGAATTAGAAGATATTCCAAGAGACAATTATTTTCTAGAAACTCACAACCAGGTTGGATATTATATGAGATTGAATCCAATTCATTTTTAATAAATTTAATAAACGATGCCATTTTGAAGGGAATCTTAAAAATCTTATATGTAACCATTCTAAACCGTTGTATCCAAATTTGGTTTGCTACTGCTTAAATAAAGCGTAGCTTATCAAATGCGCAGTTTGGACAGCAATTTATGTGGATCAATGTATTAAATCAGAATTTTCCTACAATAGTTTTAAACCGCTGCAAAATCGTTGCCATACATTGATATTAGCAATGGATTTAGAACCGCTACTAACAAACCATTGCTTAATGTTCAATATGCAATAGTGTGGTGTCTTTTTTGAAAAAACCAAAGAGTTCCTAAAATGAAACCTTTATACGTTGGCAGAAACCACCATCTAGTTGGGTAAAGCTCAACATTGATGGAGCCTTACTGAATTCAATCGTTACTTCAACAACTGGGAGGTTCTAAAAGATGATGCATGTATTTAGCTATATAGTTTCGCATATCAGATTGGAATTTGTTTTGTTTTGTGTGCTAAATTTGGAGAATTCTTGTTGGTTTAGAAATGACACAGAATCTGGGCTCATATAGGTTTTTTTAGGAGCTGATTCTTTGGTAGCTTTTCAGTTATTGCATTTTCATAGCAATAATCACGGTAATTACAGTCACCTAGTGTCATAACCCATTTTTTGACCTCCAATAATTTTTATTTTTGTACAAAATAAAAAAAATTACATGTTGTATGTTTTCTTGATTTTTCCATATTTTTTAATAAATTTTTAGGATTTAATTTATTAGGATTATCCCTTAATTTTAATTAAAAAAACAACAAAAGAAGAAATTGAAAAGAGAAAAAAGAAAAAAAAATTGATGACAAATTAAATAACATAAAATATGTGAGAACCAAATAACATCTAATTAGAGATATAATTAGAAGATAATAAAAAATTAAGGGCCTTAATTAAGAATGAGTGAGGATGGAATTGAAAAAAATCTAGAGAACATGGACTAAACAATTTTAATTAAGGGCACAATTAGAGGAAAAAAAGAAGAGAAAAAATACAATGAAATTGAAAGAAATGGACAAAGGAATGATGTAATTTGATTTTTATCCCAATCCTAAAGAACCTCTATAAACACTAAGTTTTCACTTCTTCTTTGGATGACGGCAACTCTTCCTCTACTCCCTAAGAAAAATCCTCGCGACCAGTCGAACCTCCCTCCTACTAGCCACTAATTCACCAATCACCACCCATCGCAACTCTCACCACCTTTTCCCTTACCGCCACCACAACCTTCTAACCACCACAACCCTCATTCTTCATCCAATCAACCTTGAAACCTACTAACTTGCTACAAACACAACCACGAGCTCATCCTCGCTCCTCTCACGAAGCCACCCTAAAACTTACAACCACAGCCTCCTCCTAGCTCGAAACACATCGTCACTTGAATCCCCATCATCAAGCATGACAACCAACCCTCTCCTCTACAACAATCACCACCCACAAAGCCACCACATTAGTGATGCGGACCAACGAGCCCTAAAATTTATGAAACGATATGAGCGAAACAAAAGTTGAAAAAACTATCGACCTAATTTTGAGGTTTTTTAGGCCTAGTTCGATGCTAAACGACCCAATGACTCAAACTTATTATTATGCCATGATGTAGGCATGATTTTTGCCAAAAAAGGATGTTTAGGCCCTAAAAATGGACTTTTTGTGTTTTTTGGGATTTTTCCCTAAATTTTGAGATTTGTATTTTTTTTTCTTTTTAAGTTGGTTTAGGGTCTTTGATCGAATCTTCTATTTATGATGACTTAGAGGATGAAAAACGATATCTTTCTTTGACTAATAAAAATTTATGAGAGAGTATCTCAATTTTATTTCAATTTCTAGCATTCTTAGAATTAACATAATTTAAAGCCTATTTCCTAGAATTTGCATGTAATTCAATAGGTTATAGTACTTGTGTTTGAATTTTTAGATCAACGGTGTTTATTTTCTTCTTGTAAGCTTTTACTACGTCAAATAGCTATGCTAGCTACATGTCACCACCATTAAATCTAAGTCATCTTTAAACCCACAACCAAACTCCACCCATATTTTAAACCACCACCGTCCAAATTATTCACACCAAATCGGTAGACCTTCTCTACCAATAGTCCTTCTTCCATCAACCAACACCGGCCATTAAGGCTTCTTACCAACCTCCCACTTTATAGACCAAGCGAAACTCACTAAACCTAGTAGCCTTGCAAGTTCCTCCATCATCACCATTCTCCTCCCTTATAGTCTTGATGTCATTAACCATGAAATTAGTCAAAATTCACCATAAAATCCCTATCCCAAACTGCCATTCAAGCTACCCACACCGATCACCATTGAAACCACAAACCATCACAAGTAGTTGCATTAGCCATTTTTGGTCACCACGGAAAAAATCTATTAACCCACACCAAGCTCCCCATAGACCCACTTTTCATCCACGGTCACCAAGTGTCCCTCTCCACCATAGCAACTTCTAGCACCATTTATCCCATCATCCTATCCACCATAAACACCTCCTTTCTAGTAAGGTAGTCTGTTTGGTCATGACTTCTCGTCAAGAAATCTACAATTGAAGTAAGCGTAATTTGTTTCTTAGTATATAGAGAAAGGTTACCAAATATATGTTGGTTCGACTGATTTTAGATTCGATTGAAAATGATGATTGGAAAATTATAGGTCGATTACAAGTTCGGTAGAAAATGTTTTATAGTAACATTACAAATGACATGAGTTCTATATAAAAATGGTGGCAAAATTTTTTTCTAATCTTTTGGAATGATGAGATAATTATTGATTGTTGGACAACAAAATTGTCATTTTTAATAAGAAGGGCATTTTGTTCATTTCCAAGCATCAAGGGAAAATTTGGTCATTTTTCAACCTAAAGGGTAAAATTAGTATTTCTAAAAAAACACAGGATAATTTAGTCATTTTAGGACTATTTATGGTATTTGTTCTAATTATTTTGTAATTTATCAATTTAGCATGTTCGAATGTGATGTGATTGGATTGAAGTGTGTTGAGTTGCACCATTGCATATCGAACCTAGGGGTTCGAGACCCCGAGATATTGAAGTAAAGTAAGTTTGGTTGAATGCTCTACGATGGAGATAAAATGATGAGTTTATGTTGTATTTTATGGATTATCTAGGATAAATTTCGATCCTAATATGTTTCAAATTAATTAATTGATTGAATTTGTTATGTCTTTATTTGCTTGAAATGCTTAATATTTGATTTAATTAATTAATTGAACGATTGAATTATTTGGGATGCTATTTTCTTCAATTGCTAGGTATCTAATTTAACTCAATTATCCGATTTAGTTTTGGCAATTTTTATTCAACATTCTATGTAAACATTTTTAGTTATTTAGGTCGTTTCTTGACATGCTAATTATGTGAGGACTTTAAATTAGATCTAATGCTAAATTGATGAGACTTTTGAGTTTTAGGGTTTGATGTTAATTTAATACGATACCATAAATAAAAATAAAAAAATTAATTTTGAAAATATTTTTCTTGCATACCTCAAAATAAAATACTTTTAGTTTAATTAGGTTGTTCTTGACATGTCAATCGAAATAAGATTTTAAATTAGATTCGATGTTAAATTAATGTGACTTCTAATCTTGGGGCTCGACGTAAATTTAATATGATCCTACAAATATAAAAAAATAAAAAAATAATGTGATTAGACCATAGACAAGCTTGGAAATAAACTTAGGAAATAATTGGATAAAATAAATTTTTAAGAGATACATTTGTAGGATTAAACTAAACATGATACATTTTCTTAAAAAAAGTACCTTTGAGTGATCGGTATCTTTCTAAAGATATAACCAACTCCTTACCCAAGAATCTCTGAATCCAATATTCTTTTTAGGTTTCTAGTTACCTTCAATGCTAGATAACAACTCCAAACCTTTTTCTTAATTTTCTCTCATAGACGTTTTTATTTTTTTAAAGTCTCCTACATGTCGAGTAGTGACGAGCATGATTACTCCATTGGAAATTTAGAGATAGGCTATAGGTTTAATCTTCTTTATTTATATTTACCATTTGTATCCAAGTTATTTATCATCAATTTAAATTTGAAGTCATTTATTTTATATATTTATTTTTATGCATACCGTAAACTGGGTTGGATATATCTATTTTACATTGTTATACACACACCACTAAAAAAGCATGTAGAAGCTCTAAATCCGAGCTAAAACCTTTTTTGGATTTAAATAAAGGAATCTATATGACAAGTATGACGAAAGTCTATTGATGCTCATTTGGACTATCGTTTGGATTAAAACTCATATATGCATAGGAAATTATGGAATGACCTTCTCATACCTTCTAGTGTATAAGGTTATAGACTAGATTACTTGATTGGTAATTTAGACAATTTAGGGACTTGAAAAAAATTTTAGAATTAGACAAGTTTTGCCTAAACCCCGTTTAGAAGAACTAGATCATATATATTAGGTTTGACCTATTAAAATATGAACTATTTTTGTAATGTTAGAACTAGATCATATATTTAGACAATTTAGAGATTTTCATTTAGATTAAAACCATCCTAACCTTTGTTTTAGCATATTATCATCGAAGGAAATTATGACCGAGAGAGTGAGCATACTATTAAGGATTTTGGGCCGAGTTAGAACCGGCCTAGTTTGAGGAGGAAGACTCGTCTATCCTTAGGTTTTGTGTTAAAGCTACTAGAAAAGATAGGACTTATAAGTAACAAGTACACCATCAAATAGAAGCTCATACTTTTTTACCCAAAACCTGAAACCTCATTGTTACTACTAACTCATATCCTAGTTTAAAGTTGCGAGAGAGAGTTGCATATGGATCCGTTATGTAATGAAAAATATTATGAGCATTGTAATATAATCTAAGTAGTTATAGCATTTATTAGTGATCATTGTGATATAATTCAACCAGTTATACTATCTTTACCTTTCAATAAAAAATAGCTTTGAGTCATATTTAGGATGTGCTAGAAGTCTAAATTTTTACTTCTTCTATCAATATTGCTATGACGTGGCATCATTGACTTAAGGTTTTAAAAAGGAATGCGGTAGACATGTTTTCTAAATTGCGTGAAGTATCTATAGGGTTGTACCATTAGCAATACTTAAACTCGATGTGGCTCATTCTTAGTACAAGCTCTGTAATGATTTGAAGTTCTCAATGACAAAACAACATATCCAACCTAGTTCACATTTACATACATACATATATATATAAATAGATACATACATGCATGCATGCACACACAACACACACACACACACACACACACACACATATGGAGTGCAAACAGAGTTGAAATATAGGTTGTCTCACCAAAACTAAACTCCCTCTCCGAATATATTTCACTCGACTCAAGTGACGCTTAATGGAGAATGAAGAGGGGGCATAATTAGAACAAGTCCATCGGGAGAAACTAGATGCTAGGAATGTGAAAATCTCTTATCTCACAAATTTGTTTGCTAAGGCATTACAAGCATTGCTGAATGGAGAAGGTAATTTGAGTCAAGTTCGGGCCTAATAAGAAGTGCCATATCCTATTCCATCGCTAAATATACATACACATTCGGGACCATCTATCACCTTGTATATAAACCCGGGGAAACTATATTTCCTCATAAAGCATAGTTTCCTTCGGGGTAATTTCCTTATGCAATGGGCCTACTATTAGTGTATGGCCTAGAAGCCAATCATAATTTAATTATACTAGCTTACACTTTTCATGTTATTATATATATAAGGCATTCAATTTATTATGTTTATTTATTTTTGAGTTTTATTAAATGAACATGATAAAGTCTTAAGAATATTATTATTCTTAAATGTCCCCAATCAAGTTTTTCTTTATTATGGATATATTAAAAGGGCAATAATAAAGCATTGAGACTGGTACATATATTGACTAATAACAATGTGTTATGCATATGAGATATCAAGTTAACATATACTAGATTGAGTTGCCATGAGATCACTATGTAGATTGTTATATAAGTTTCATAAATTGGTTTCATTGTGACTATGGTGTACGTGATCTTTTGACTTGAAGTCACTACGGTTCCCTATATAAAGAGTCGTATATTTTGATACTATCAATCTTCATATGTAACAAGATGGATTATAAAGTTGGTTATTGGATATACCATGTATCATGTAGAGGGATATGAGTGATGTAGATGAGATTTTTCTCTCTTATATAATAAGAGTGATATTTATAGGCCCTTTGATTGAGTGAGATTGTGAAATGCATGACCATGCTTAAATGAATTGATATGAAATATTGATCTCACTTGCTTGGAACAGTCTATTCAAGGATCAAGAAATGCTAAGATTAAACTATATAAGGATGACACATTTCATGCCTCATGTTTGATCTAAACATTTAGGACAAAAGGGCAAGAATACATGTTAACATATGTCACAAATATGATTATGCTTGAATCATCGACATTATTATTACTTAGATAATAGTGATATATTGCCGGATGTTGCTCATTATTTATGATTTTAAATTATGATTTTAAGGTCACCACCAATGTACTAAGAACCTATAGGGTCATGCACAAAAAGTGACTCAAAATTGAAGCATGACTAGAAATCCTAGTTGGATTAGGATTCTTAATTAGGTTAAGATTCCTAGTGAGACTAGGATAAATTCTGGATTATGGTATTTAATTAGATCAATGGACTAGTTTGATTAAGAAATATAAAATGGGCTTAATGAAGTTCAAGTCCTAGGTTGTTGGACATTAATTTGTCAAAATAATCGACCTATATTTTCTCTCTCCTTAGGGTTAAAAAAATATTTTCCTAGTAGGATCGGGGCTCTCACACATTCTGGTTATTATAAAAATACAACCAAGTATGTAATATTCATGATAATCAAAATATTTTATGAGACAATAACCCTAACGACCTTGAGAGGAAACCCTAACCGCCTTGAGAGGAAGTGTGATCCGAGCATTTAAATACTACAACTCGTAGCTAGCACTTTGACTAGAGGTGACTCTCCATTCTAAAATTATTTTGGTGATCGAGACATTTATGTGAATACAAATAGAGTTACGGTTTGTTGACCTATGCTTATAATTTAGGCATCTTTCATGCAAGAGACGTGATCTACACTATAAGAGGTAATGATCTAATTATCCGACTTAACTCGTTTTTTGCATGGATCCTGTGGTATTTCAAAGCAAATTTTTTTATGATATTATTTTCATCGCACCAATTTGATT